AGCGCAGCACGTCCTCAAAAGCAAAGTTGTCAAAGGCACTTCTTGCAGCTATGCTGTTGGACTTATAAAAGAAAAAAATTTATTTATAATTCCAATTCACAGTTTGCTGCAGTTCAAGCCGGACTTTGCTGCTTTCGAAGCGCTGCAGCAGCAGCAGCAGCAGCAGCTAAGCAGCAGCGGCAGACGCGCCGCCCACCACGCAGACGCAGCAGCAGCAGCAGCGGCAGAGCAGCAGCAGCAGCAGCAGCAGCTAGTGCAGCCCCTCGGAGAAACCCGCGCCCGCATTTCCCACAGCAAACAAAGAGATATAGAAGAGAGCGAACCCTGGCTGCCCATCGACGTACCTAAACCCTAAACCCTAAACCCTAAACCCTAAACCCTAAACCCTAAGGGCTAGACTGCGGACTGCAAAGAGTAGACTCAGTTCCCAAACCCTAAACCGCAGGGGCTGTGTCTTGCTGCTCACAGCATGGCGTGTTGCAGTCGATGGACAAAGGTCCTAGGGTTTAGGGTTTAGGGTTTAGGGTTTAGGGTTTAGGGTTTAAGGTTTGTGCTTCCTCCAGGCATTTTACGATGCGGATTCTCCCGAGGCATATGACTTAATAAACTCCCTTGTAGACAATTATGAGGGTAAACTGCTGCTGCTGCTGCTGCATTTGCTGTTGCTGCTGTTGCTGCTGCTGCATTTGCTGTTGCTGCTGCAGCTGTTGCTGCCGTACCTGCTGCTGCTTTGTTGCAGCTCTTGAAATCCCTGCTTATGCGTTTACTTCTGCTGCTGTTGCTGCTGCTGCGTCGTTTTTTGATTTTGCTGCTGCCGTGGCATTTGGTCCTCTACTGCCACCGCCGCAGCAGCAGCAGCAGCTGCTGCTGCTGCTGAGTTCGTTGCTGCTGCTCATCGTGAGTTTGCTGCTGGACTGCCTCAGTAGCTGCTGCTGTTGCTGCTGGTGTTTGCTGCTGCAGCTCCTGCAGCAGATGACGGGCTTGGGATGAGCGTCTTTGGGGTATCTGCGCAGCAGCAGCAGGAGCGGAAGCAGCAGCAGCAGCAGCAGCAGCAGAAGCAGCAGCAGCTTAAGCAAGATGTAGTATTTCTTTCAGATTTGTCTTCTTACTTTGCAACAATATGCCAGCAGCAACCTGGCAGCAGCGATGCAGCAGCAGCAGCAGCAGCAGCAGCAGGACCTCTCAGCTACGCTTCCCTGCGGCGGCTGCCTCTAGAGCAGCAG